CCCTTTGCTGTAAAGACAATATTTTGTTTTGTTTCATGTTTCGTTTTGTGTTTTTCTCTTTTGGTTCCCAACGCTCCTAGCCTGTCAAGTACAAGTGTGTAATTGAGGAATTGTTATCTTTTAAAAGTGACTTTACTTACAATACGCAGCAATACAAGCAGAACATCTGACCTCAAAACTCGCACATCTTCTTCCCATCATGAAAGCATGGATGCAAAGGGCCATTGAATTACACGCATCAGTGAAAACAAATCATATGCTGTTCAGAGAGAGTTAATCAAAGGTGAGCGGACATACTGTACATACATAGTAACATGTGTGTCCACACAGGCGCACAAACAGTTTCATATATACGCGAGCCCTGATACATGGAGACACACATTGAAAAACATGAACCATTTTCTTCATGGGATGGTCACAGCACACTCAATGATCACTGTGATGTCACAGTCGGGCCATCAGAAACCCTGGAGAGCAAAGAAACGCTATCTACTTCTCTGTGCTGCTTGCTGTCACTTTCCTATCTCTTCTCTCCGCTGTTCCTCTCTCTCTCTTTGTATCTCTTTTCCACTCACACTCACACACACTGTCAGCAGTGTATTATTGGAGGGTAATTAGTGTCCACCACTCGCTCCCAGGCTCATCCCGTTAAGCACATGCCTGATCAAAGAGCCCCCACAGGCCACAGCTTTCTGCAGCTTTAGGCTCCTGTAGCCACGAGAGACAGGGACAGAGTCGCTGGTTGCCTTGCTAATTCTAAATCAATGTGGTTATTTAAGGGTGAAATGCATGTCTGCTTGACTTGACTTCATCCACGTCAGAACGAAGCCTCATCACTTTGGTAGCAAGTCACAAAAAGACGGGATGGAAAAAAGAACGCCTGGTAAAATGAAGCGCATCTGTCGAGCTGATTTAATGTGATGTTCATCATCAGAGGCGAAGACAGTTCTGTCCACAGTGATTAACAACTCTATTCTGAAGCTTGAGACAAGTTAATTGATCCAAGAAAAGACATTTGGTTGGTAGCTAGCAGCGTGGCTCAACAGGAGGGAAATCAGTGTTTATTGATTCCTCACTTTTGCCCATTTCTAAAATGTAAACTACTAGGAATTTGCTTTTTTTCTTTGCTTTTTTTTTGGATACAGGTATTAATTATGCCAAGATAATAATAATAATAATCTTTATTTGTTTAGCACCTTTCATACAACAAGTGCAGTCCAAAGTGCTTCACATAGACATTGCACAGAAAATGTATATATCACACAGAATACAGACCAGTAAAAGACATAAAAACAAACTAAAAATTGCATAGAGTAGACATATATAAAAAAATAAAATTAGATTAAAGGTAAAACAATACAATTGTGCATTAAAAGGAGAATAGTGCAAATTCAACACACAATCAGGTGACAGGTTAAAATCAGGTTAAAAAAATGATATATAAAGTCTATGGTTAAAATGCATCGCAATGCATTTAGAAAGTGCAGCATAGAGCAGGAGTCGTCTTCCTAAAAGGCTAACTTATACAAATGTGTTTTGAGTTTCTTTTTTTTAAACTTCCACCGAGCTGGCTTCCCTGATGTCTACAGGTATTTTGTTCCATTGCTTTGGGGCATAGTTAGAAGATAAAGACGATTTATCCTAATGACTTTGTTGAACTAGCTAATAAACAGGATTGCCATACCCCCTTCAGAATAAATTGTAATAGTTGAAGTTATTCCTTAACCTTTAATTTAGCTACTTTTCATGTCAAAATTCCTCTTCATTTCATTTGTATTACTTTTAATTATTACCAAACACCTGTAAAACTAATGACATCATCGACATCTGCATTTTTATCTACTGCAAATGTGAGCATATTAACACTTTAAACTAAGATGTTGAACATGTTCAACAGTACATGCTTAAACTCGGTATGTTAGCATTGCCATAATAGCGTGTTCGCATACTAACACTAGTGTTTGGCTCAACGCAACACAGTGCCCATTAACTTTAAGGTTAATTACGCAGTCACTGCCTTGTATTTTCACACCTAAACTTATAAAGGCTCCATGTGCCACACAAGTTACATCCTTGCATTCAATGCCAAGAGAGTGTGTGTGCTTAAAATCATGTGAGGTGAAAGGGCAAAGGTTATAATGAACTTCCTTTTTAAATTAAGTCTCTTCTTTGGAGGAACAAAGTAGGGAATTAGAGGAGTGACTGCCAACAGAGAAAAAAATATTGGCTTAATTTTTTCTGGCCTTAGTGAACAAAAGGTCCAATTAATTGACTGATTATAATTGCCCTGGTTTCCCCTCAGCCAATTAGAGGCTTAGACAACTTTATATGAGTGCAGCGAATCGCAGAGTAGCGGGGAGTTTTCAAGGCAGGTACCAAGAGCTGAAATTACACAAGCGTCTCAGGAGAGAAGCCTTTTCATTAAGCTTTAAAACTCAACTCCATGTTACTGACCTCAGAAAACTTCTTGAGAGTTTTGAAGCCACTAAAGTAAAATGCAAATGCCTACCCGTAGAGAATTAGATCTGACAGGTCATTCATTTTTAGTCAGTTCACTTCTTATATTAATCCTGCCTGTTACTAAAGTAAGATAACAATCCCCAAATTGTTCATGCTACATTATCTTCATCATGATGGGGAGACTGATCGTGATGGTGAAAGAAAGCTATGCAGTGAAAATGTTTGAGGGAATAAACATGATGAGGGAAAAAGCTGTGCGGCCTGATTTCCATTTACCTCTGCGCCTTGATGAATAACTTATGCCTCGGCTGGTATGCACCCTGCAGTGTCTGAACTCCAAATATGAAGTAATAATAATTTAAATGTAGGTGCATGTGTAATATATGATACATCAGGTGAGTGAGTTTTAGTGCCCTGACTAAATATTGTCCGGACTGTGTTAAGTCAGTGTTTTATCTGCACCAGATGTTGCGATTGTGTAAGTGTTGTGGGTGTTTTTGAATTTTAAGCTGTAAAATGAGTCTACCCCTGAGCTGTGTTGGTCCCCTGTGAGGTAGATAAAAATGGTTGTTAAAATCAGTCAACTGTAAAAAATAAAGTGTGTTCACTGCATTTCCATATCAATGCTATACAGTACATGTTTTAGATTCAGACTGCTCTTAAAATAAACTAACAAGGGATACACTTTAATTACATTTTTATTTCCCCAGACCGGGCAAGTGTGATTTTGTAAACATGAGCAAATGAACGAAGTCTCTTAAAATGAGAAACCAGACAGACGGTGTTCTGAGTTGTCTGCAAGATATTCATCTATGTGTATTCCCAATGGCAATACATGGACCAACAGCTTTATGACTTCACTGTATGGAAACTTATTATTACATATTTGTTTAAGTATATAGGTTTTTCAAAAAAGTCACATCTTACTGGAAGTCCATTTTTATAGAGTGCGTGGGTTTAGTGTCTTATGACAATGGAATACATATTACCAATAGTACATTACTCGTAGTAAAGTCCAGAAATGCTATCTTTAGTCACAGGAAAAACATTGGAGGGTAAGGTTTTGAACCATCTTTTAAAGCGTTAACTGACCTGTGCAGAGAGAAAGTTTCCCATTAAAGGAGCATGTTTTATTTAGTTGTTGCAAAGGAAGAAAACCTTTTCACTGAATGTGGCTGTGTGTGTCTAAATGGTCTGTGACCCATTTGTTCTTTTGCTAAAACACACTCTCTGCCTTATCTGAGATGGTTCACATGGCTCTGAAAGCGCAGTTTGATGGTTTGGGAATGTGTTGAATAGTGTCTGCGTCCCTTCATAGATTTGAAAGCTGTGATCTGAGTGTTTGGCCTCCGTCTTTAACAAACAAACCACTCAGCTGGAAATCCAACAGCATACAGTTGGACAGACGATGTTTGAAGGGCGGACATGGAAATGCCAAACTTACCAGTCACTCAGAATAAACACCTAACAGAGAAAGGAGGCTATTCAAGAATTCAAATCAAACAAAGAGGAACATGAAATATTGGATGAACACAGAGAAACTGAAAGGAAGATAAAATATCTTCTATGATAACATACTGAATAGAGTTGGTGTTGCTGATTTTATGCTGGTGGAGGGGGAGAGCGCGTGCTGTCCCAAGTGAGGAAACGTTTTCTGCTCGGACAGGCGTGGGTCAACCGTCAATGTGCCATCTCAGGCACCTGTGTTACTAGAGGCAGTTTTCCACACATGACCTTCAAAACTGCCTTATCAAGCCTCCAAACCACTTCTTCAGACACACACTGGCCATTGGCCCACCTTTTTGTTTAGCTATAAGTAACTCGTGTTTGGAGATTTTGTAAAAGCTTGCAGGCTTTGTCGTTCTTCTGCAAACAGGCAGTAAAAACACCTCTCAAAATACCCTTTGAATCGCAGCCCTCAGTCCATTCAGAACAAAGAGCTTTGATTAAACAGTTAAAGGGTTGTTTCATCTAAATCAAACTTAAATATTTGTTCCATTTCCCCACAACCCACAGTGGTATCTAGATGCAGCTTCATACAGTATGCCTAGGACCTCCACTACCACTGTGTTGTTGCTTAGTGTGTCTGCGGTAGCTACAAAGTGATATGAACAGGGCAACAAGTTAAAAACACATCTTTACATCCGTTAACAGAGTATCTAGAATTGCAAAAAATATTTTATAAATAATGTATATGTAAGCAAGTGCGTATAAAGTGTATGAACAAACTGACCTTAACATCACTTAGAAACATTGATTTTTCAAATATCACTAAATACTCCTTTAAATTAAACGTCTTATTGAAAGAAGTCTGTGCCTTTTTTAATATGCTGTAATTGAGCACAGTCTGAGATATTTTGTAGTTAGCATCTGGTGCCATAAGAGAACTAAAAGTTAAGTAACTTCTGCATTTGATTGATGAACCCCGTTAACATTTTTCCCTTCTCTCATTGTCTCTAAACATCCAAGGTATGTAGGGGTTTCAAAATCAAAGCCATATATTTAGTGGTTTAACTCTGTTTTCTCATTTCTTTCATTAGGCTGTTTTTCATCTAAGGGGGAGGACAGATTATTTCGGAGATTGTTCAGGAGGTACAACCAGTTCATCCGACCAGTGGAGAATGTATCTGATCCAGTCACCGTGGAGTTTGAGGTCTCCATGTCCCAGCTGGTCAAAGTGGTAAGAGTAAAGAATAAACTCTTGGTTTCTCACTTTAAAAACTTCAAATGTTCTCTTGTTAGCAATTCTCCCTTTATGTTTAAACAGGATGAGGTGAATCAGATTATGGAGACCAATCTGTGGCTGAGACATGTGAGTAATATTTATCCTTTGTGTGACATCATTACTGATATATTACATAATGTTTTTACTCATGCTACATTGTGTTGGTCTTTTAGGTCTGGAACGACTACAAGCTGAAATGGGCCCCTATTGAGTACGATGGGATTGAGTTCATACGAGTTCCATCCAATAAAATTTGGAGGCCAGATATTGTTTTGTATAACAAGTAAGTTTGAGTGTATTTATCCATGCTCTACATCTTCTGACCTTTTCTGTTAAATGTTGTAATGGCCTCTAAGTGAAATGACATTTACATCTCTCAAAGTGCTGTAGGTGACTTTCTTGTGGAAGACAAGACCAAGGCTCTGCTGAAGTTTGATGGCACCATCACCTGGGTTCCTCCAGCTATTTTTAAATCCTCCTGCCCCATGGACATCACCTACTTCCCCTTTGACTACCAGAACTGCTCCATGAAGTTTGGCTCCTGGACATACGACAAGGCCAAGATCGACCTGGTGCTGATTGGCTCAAAGGTTAGTGACAGGGGACAGATCAGGGCCATTTATGTTCTACATGGCATGTTTATAACACAATGCGCTTTGCTTTTGTGAGGACTCAAAGACATTAAAAGGTAGATTTCAGTACTGAGTCACACCTACGCTTTTATCTGCTCATATGATCTAGTGAGACAAAATGGGAACAACTTCTATCAAATCCTTTCACTTTAATGCCAAAATATATTAACCAGTTAAGCCCCATGCCCCCGGTACCTGAATGTGTCATACCCACTTAACGGGAAGAAACTCAGCTATCAGACAATATTAACCATTTTTAGCAAAACATAAGGATAATAACAAAGGCTCTGAATTAGCCCTGAGCGAAAAAATGCTAATGCAGTTAGCACAGAACTCAAGGTAAAATACCCTTATTACTTATCGGATCTGCACAACGAAGATATCGATTAGCAAGCTGAGATTCCACAGATTCCAGACATATAAGTATCATCACTGAGCGATCAGAACTTGCGACAGGGGAAGCAAAAACAGACATCACAACACGTAGCTTCACGGAGGAAACACGGAGATATTCTTACCTTAGCTGTTGTTCTGATCAAAAGTTGTGTTCAATGGCATCAAAACGATAAAAATGCTGCTGAAGGTTAATCCAATGGTTAATCCAACGTGTCTGTGTCGCTTCACAGACACATGATTACTGATAATCCATCTTCATATTTACTAGTTTGAGAATAGGTTTCAGTTTTCAGAGCGTAACATAGCTTTCGACTGCGTGTACGTCACACTCACTCCTCAATGGTAACTTGTGTGTGTATGTGGAACTTCCCCTTCGATTCTATGGCTCTAACAGTTCAAAAGAGATGTCAATGACCAAAATTGAACAATGGGTTCCAGAGGAATGGCAAATCCACCCAAATGACCCCAAAGGTGGGTTCTTTTTTGCTAAACCTCTCTAAAAAAGTCAAATGTCACTTGTTTTGCATCAATCTTGATACAGGGTACTTATTATATGTTATATATCATTCATCATTCAATGGTGGTTTTCACTATAAGTAATGTTTTTCTTTTGGACGGACACAATAATTTACATTTTGTTACTGTGTTCAATCTGAATTTACTTTCAAATAAAAAAATGCTATATTGATTCTGACTGCTCTACATCCATCTCACAGGTTTGTCGTTGCTTTGAGAAAAAAGATTATTAATGTACCCCTTTTAGAAGTGAAGATATGGTCATTTGTTCTGGGAATGTCATTTTCGAGCCTGAGGCATGAAAAACAGGCTCGGGGCTTAACTGGTTTTAAGAGAGATGTTATAATTTCTAGACCCCTTTTGAATATTTGTGCTTTCCACTTCTTATGTCTTTTTAAACTGATTTCTTGTAGTCTTGAAAAAACTAAAATCTTTGTTTTTAAAATGTAGTTTTCCTCCAAATATCTGCCATTCACATCCCATTTGCATTTCCTCAGGTCAACTTGAAAGACTTCTGGGAAAGTGGAGAGTGGGAGATCATCGACGCTCCGGGATACAAACATGACATCAAGTACAACTGCTGCGAGGAGATCTACCCGGACATCACCTACTCCTTCTACATCCGCCGCCTGCCTCTCTTCTACACCATCAACCTGATCATCCCCTGCCTCCTCATCTCCTTCCTCACGGTGCTGGTCTTCTACCTCCCGTCTGACTGCGGCGAGAAGGTCACCCTCTGCATCTCCGTCCTCCTCTCCCTCACTGTGTTCCTGCTCGTCATCACCGAGACCATCCCTTCCACGTCCCTCGTCATCCCTCTGATCGGCGAGTACCTCCTCTTCACCATGATTTTTGTCACGCTCAGCATCGTCATCACTGTCTTTGTGCTGAACGTCCACTACCGCACCCCCATGACTCACACGATGCCGGACTGGGTGAGGTCCGTGTTCCTCGGGGTGTTGCCCAGGGTGATGCTGATGAGGAGGCCAATCGACCAGGGCTGCTCCACCACTGCCAATATTGCGGTAACAGGAGGAGGAAGGAAGAAGAGAAAGACCAGCATAGGAAGTGGTTCAGGAAGTGTTATTATTGGCGGTATAACTGGGGGTGTAGCGTTTCCACCAACAGATGTTGGGGCAGGAGGCGGGGCTGCATCAGCGAGTGCTTCAATGAACTGTGTGGAGTATGGCGAGGTTAACCGAGACAAGAACCGGGACATTAACAGGAGATGTCCCTACAGAGGCAAGGAGGTACCGACTCCTGTCCCTCCCCCGATGGTGCCGTCACCTCCTCCTCCCCCTCCTCCTCCTCCACCTCCCCCGTCCTCACAGGCGACCCCGACCCAGGCACCCAAGGAGTCGGAGATACCCAAGGTGCCGAGGCCAGTCAAAGCCCCTTCACCTATCAGCGCTGTCGTTGCCTTCTCCGTGGTGTCGCCAGAGATCAAGCAGGCCATAGAGAGCGTGAAGTACATCGCAGAGAACATGAGGACTCGCAACAAAGCCAAAGAGGTACGAAAGCAAGCTTGAGTTTACGGTGCTGAGTATGACTTATGTTGCGGCAGAGGTCTAATAACCTTGATCAAATGTATCTACAAAAGCATTAAAATATACTGATTGTGTGAATGATAAATCTGTAGATTGGTAGTGTTTGCAAGTGACTGTGTGAATATGTGGTGGTGTGTAGGGTACATTTAAGATAAACAATTCAGAACAAGGAAGGTGTGGTGCAGAGGTTAGGGCAGAGTATGTATTCACCCAGAGGCCTAGATGACTAACTACAACTTGTCCTAATGCCAAAAAAGAATTTGCTAACCTTGAGTTTTTTCCCAACATTGGGGAAAGCACACATGTAGTCCCCAGAATGTACAATACACACACATATATAAACATATGATAACAGAGCTTTACTGTGTATGTGTTATCTCTGCAGCATTGTGTATTTCTACCTAGCTAAAGGAAAGAGTGTAGAAAAGCATTTCCCTGTGCTATAAAGGGAGTGTAAAGCGGCTTGTTTGTTGCAGATGGATGGCTTTGCGTACGCTTCCTGCACACTCTGCATGGCCCTGATATGTTTGTTGCTTCAGCTCCATCTTTTCTTAGCAAAGCTGGGATCTTTCTTTTATGCATGCTGAATAGCCTCCTCTATAGGACACAATGGCATTATGGTCAGGGCAGCCATCATCCTATTGTCCACACCTGGCTGATAGAAGAATACTATCACACACACACACACACACACACACACACACACACACACACACACACACACACACTCACACACACACACGGCTGTATTGTTGATACAGTGACATCACAGCATGGTAGAGCACGATAAAAGATAATAGAAATCATATTAGCCTGAAAACACAACTCTTTTTACGTATTCCATGACCAAAAAGGAGGAGGGAGAATAACTCAATCTTATTTTACCCTCACCCAAAACAAATATACGATGGAGAAAGATGGTATGACAGACATTTCATAATTACAATTAAGCAGATTTTTCAGAAGCATAGTGGAATTCAATAATATAATATATTTGTGATATTTTGTACTTTTTCTACTTACTTGCTAACATATTTGTTTCCTTATTCTCCTCAGGTGGAGGACGACTGGAAGTACGTCGCCATGGTCATCGACAGGATCTTCCTGTGGGTTTTTGTGACAGTGTGTATTCTGGGAACAGTGGGACTCTTCCTCCAGCCGCTCATCAGCTTCTTTCAATGAGACACTCGTCTTTGCCCCTTTTCTCTCTCTCTCTCTCTCTCCCTCTCTTTTTGTCTACTTCAGTCTATCTCTGTGCCCCACTTGAAATACTTTGGGAATAATCCCTCCTGCAGCTCTTTCAAATCAAACACTGAACTGTCTTCTTTTTCATTTTGCGGCGTTTTGTCCCTCCATGCTTTCCTCTGGGAGTCCAAAATCAGCCATCACTTCTAGCTCTCAGCTGTTTCCTCACATGACTTACCCTGATTTCCCCATCACATCTTTGTCTTGCCCTCTCAATGGGCCGGCAATTCTGTTATTCAGTCTCTTCTCCACAGTTTTTTCTTCTGACATGATTATCACATCTGCGCCCCTCTCCGATTTTCTCCTCTTCGGTGCCATCATTTTGACCTGCAACTGCCTACAGTTTATTTCTTCAGTAGTCTCCTGTCTCCACTTTCGTCCAATCTTCTATGCATTTCTATTGTGTGTATTTGACTGAGATTTCCACTCAGTCATTGTACAGTCTTATACAGTATGTTTAACAATGTCAGGTCTTAATGAAATACAATGTTATTATAATTGCTTTAGAATAACCTATAAACATACGCATCGCTGAGAAAGAAGAACCTGAATACCTTTGTGAGTTTCACTGTAGGATTTTAAGATGTGCATTAATGACGAGACACTGATGAGAAATGTGGTACAATATGTCTATAATTAAAGTGAAAGACAAATCCTGATAGCGGTAATAATATGTTGTGATATGAAGGTCATTCGATGGCTGGCACTTTTTCTTCAGGATTTTCTTTTTCTGTTGTCTTCTGTGTTTTCCTTTAAATACATTTGTAAAATACAAAGGAGTTATGCATGGCTCCTGAGAAGGATGCTGGCTGTAGAAACTGTTTGTGTTATCCACATGTGCTCACACTAAGTATTATAATGCATCACACATTAATTCACACCTTCACTGCAATCTGTATAGAAACACGTTGAACTGCACAATGTAGATTAAAATTGTAAAAATATATAAAAAGCCAAACTGTCTTATGTTATTTAATAATAAAGAAGGTCCTGGACTCAAATCTTCCTGTATCATTGAGTGTTTCATCTGTTGCTTAAGATTCCTATTGTACTACTGAGATTGGTCCTATCACCCATAACATAGTGAGACGGTGCAAAGAGCAGATTTGGACACGAAAGGATGATATGTATAAAAAACATTTCTTTAAATAATTCTAAGCCAATGTATTTAAAATCAATCAGATTTTAAATTAGTTCAACAACAGCTTTAAACACACATGTGTATGAATCTGAACTTTTGTGTAGCGGTTGCTGTTGTTGCTTTTATATTATTTGCAAATTCAATCAAAAAGAGCATCATCTTGCAAAGCAGTAGCAGTACAGACTTTCGTTGTTGACTTCTTTCCCTTTTTGAAGTGTCGGTTTTAGCGAACAGCACAGTCAAAGATCTGTCAGTGGCAGATGGATACTGGTGTCTTTCGACTCATTATATAACAATATAATTTATATATAACAAACAATTACAAAACACAAAGATTGCGTCTACATGTTTGTGTCCAATGTCCAAATCAATGTCCAGTACAAATGAAAGAGCAAAACTTTGAATTGGAATTTTCTCTGAGAACAGATGTGTGAAGAACTGTACGACTATTGCTCAGTCACTCACACAATGCATCTTTAAAGCAAGACATTTCAACACCAGCTCCTGCAGCTGGCTCTCACAAATACAGATCACTCTTGTAGCAGGTGAATGGCTTTGTAATAGATGTAACTCAATGAGTCTGTGGCCGCTGGTCCTTGAGGAAGACAAAGACAGCAGGACCAAAGCATTAGATACGGGAGGCGAGCACAGGAGACAATAGAGATGATCTTGGTTACTTTATTTCAGAAAGAAATTGCATGTAAGTTATGAATGTGTTTTATTTTATCAAATTAAATGTAATGATCTTTAAATATATAATTATATGTTTTCTTATAGTTACGATCACTTTCTTAGCTTACTTCTTAGCAACCACTTACTGTTTGATATGTTTTACAACTATTATGTAAGAAAACAATTGCAATTCTTTTTTTATAATCATCCATCAGGTTTAGTGTAAACTGTAGACTTTGATGTGTACTTTAAAGAAAGAGCTCGGACACACAGTCACAAATACTGGTGCACGATTGGTGAAGTGGCCAAAGCTGCGTGTCTAAAGCAAAAGCACAGCAAAGCATTTTTCCTTTGAAGCTTCTCTCTTTTTCTGACTTATCCTTCTTTCCCTGTATCAAAGGTCACGGGTGAGACTGAATGTGCCTGTCAGCACTGTCACACACACACACACACGCACGCACACACGCACGCACGCACGCACACACACACACACACACACACACACACACACACACGCACACACAGTCCTTTGCTCTCCGGACAAATTGGAGTCTGACTCTCTGAATTGGTCCACCCTGTGGCTCCCAGCAGCCCCTCACACCTAATCCTTCTAGAAAGTACTGAATGAGCATTTTCACATTTCTGTTTGTGTGTGTGGTAAAGAGGAAGAGGAAGATTACACGTGTCACCTGAGGAGGTGAGAATGAGAAACAGAGCGAGAGAGTGGGATGTTGACAGTCTGTACTCAGCAGCATGGAACTTGCTATGCGGATTATGGCATGGATTTAATCTAGTTATAAATATGGAGATGCAGCAGCAGCTGTACAGCATGGTATCCCATCAGTCTCAGTCTGCCGCCTGACAGGGTCACATCAGCGCCTGGCTCACACAGAATGAAGAGATCAGCCAGAGAAGCAGCTTCTCCGGCTATATTTGGAAAACATTTGAGTGACGCAAGCAATTTTCCTCGACGGCTCTCCACCAACGTATTGAGTTACCCTTCACACTATCAACAGGAAATGAACTGGTAAACCAGCCAACTCTCCCAATACTCCAACAAACAGTGTACAAAGACATTAATGGATGCCACTTTTAATATTATGAGAAAGAAACACCAATCAGTCACAACTAGAAAGCCTCAGCCACTTCATTTCATTTCATTTCAAACCTTTATTTAGACAGATTGGTCCCTTGAGATCATCGATCTCATTTACAAGGGAGATCTGCATCATTTAGTTACACATGAAACATAAAAACAACAAACAAACAAACAACAGAGGATATCATATTTACATATTCAACATTTACAAATACCCAGAGTGTCAGAAAGCATTTCATTTAGACGTGCCTTAAATACATTCAGAGAAATAAAAATGCTCAATTTCAATTTTGCCTGTAGACTGTTCCAAGCAAGTGGAGCTGCGCNAAATGAACTGTGTAACCAGCAACTCCTCCAATACTCAAGCAAACAGTGTACAAAGACATTAATGGATGCCACTTTTAATATTATGAGAAAGAAACACCGATCAGTCACAACTAGAAAGCCTCAGCCACTTAAATCGGTATTTGTAATGTTGTGAGTTTGCCACAGCTGTAGATCTTTCTTGAATGATTGAGCT